TAGTTCTCGCTCGGAGCGTTCGCCGGTTTGTCCACGTAGATGTGTGTGCAGTCAACTGCGCCATGGCAGTTGGGAAAGCCCTTGTCCTGAAACGCCCGAAGCACCACGTGTTTACGCACCCCCGTCGGCCACGATATCTTGTCCCCGTAGACCCTCAACAACGCGGYTGTCACATCGCGCACGGCTCCAACTCCGGATGCTCTGCCAATGCCGAACGATGATGTGYTGTTGTCGTACGACTCTCCTGACGCCCACCTATACAGCGCGTACGCGACGATCTGATCCGGCTGAAGCGGCTCCCTGTAAAACGTGACCTATCGTTGCAAATGAGGCGCACAGGCTTCGGTGATCTCCATGAACACTCTCCTCGACATGCGAAGCTTTTCCCGGAAGTAGTCATCCGTCGCGTCATTGCACACCCGCAAATCCTCCCAAGTCCCCCCAGTTCTCCGCCTCATCCACCAACGTGGTGTCGCCCTGGGAAGCACACCGGAGCCGACTGCAGCGCACAGCTGAACAACAACCTCCGAAGTCGTGATGCAGTCCGGGGCGTCCAACACCCTCTGCAGCAGAAGCCTGTGTCGCCGCCTGGAAAGCGCTGCCTTCATGCGGCCCGCCGCCCTCTCCGCTTCGTATCGACGGACTACGGTAACGGCAGCCGCCGCGACAGCTGTCCTCTCCGTCCGCGACAGCACAGCACGGCCACCCCCATCGCATCCCTCCATTCGCGCACGTCCACGAGGAAGACCAACGTCCACCGCCACCCACCTGCGCGAATGAACGTCCACGGCGGCGATCGAAGACGCCTACGACGAGGTGTGGAAGACAGGCGTGATGACAAAACTTCACCGCGATGGGAGCGTTCGTCCTCCGTCCCTGAACCACGAAAGCGCCGCTCGCACGCACGTGGCGAGCGCAGGAGAAGACACGCCGCTTTGTTTTGCCTGCGACGAACACAGTACACACGGTGGCGCCGCGGTGCCACTGAAGTATGGAGCGCAACGTCAAGCCTGCGCGCTCGTCCCCCAGTCGACGTGCTCTTCCGCCTGTGCGCCGCCACACCGTCGTTCCGTGCGGAGAAAATGCGAATTTCGAATTTCGAACGGGGCCGTTCCCGCGCTCGCAATTTTATTTTCCACGGCCCGTGACGTGTTGCCGCCGTCCGGCTGGTGGACCAGCGCCTCCTACACGGACATCCCGAATTGGAGGTCGGACAACACCCTCGCGGCCATCTATAATCTCATGAAACTGCCCGCGGGACGGCCCCGAGGATGCTTCCTCGGGGCTACTCTCCGAGGACAGGTGGAACGACGCCTCCAAAAATTAAAAAAAACTCCGAGGGTTCGTCCTCGGAGCTCGAGGACGCTCCGAGGAGTGTCGAATGACGCCCTGTGTCCACTATCAGAAAACCAGAGTTAACAAAAGTGGGGCCGTAAATTTCGCCTGGAAAAAGATAGCGGTGAGGGATCCGAGCCGCAGCCTGTTGCATGCCCCGTTTGCAGACACGTGGCCTTTCCACATTATATGGGAAGGCCTTCGGGTTTCCACCATAGACGTGAGGATGCAGAACCGTTCGACCCACGCTTTCAATAGAATGTTGTCGGGACTACAGAAAGATCTTTTTTTTTTTTTTTTTTTTTTTTTTTTTTTTTTTTTTTTTATTGGCAATCTGCTCTACAAAGCAGTTGCTTACACCTTTTCCATGACACGTCTTTCTAGACCACAAATCTCAATC